CGAAAGCTAGCAACAAAGCATTCTCACTAATTCGGATCACAGACAAGAGTAGGAGAACATAAACATAGCACTGGCGTTCCCATCACTTGATGCTTTTACCTCTGAAGCATAATGGAAGAGGTTTTTTTTTATCTGAACCATGCTCAAATAGGAATCTAAAAGCACTTGTTTTATGATCCACTATTCTAAATATTTCTGCTACTCCAAAATAAAAGTCAATCATAAATGCAACCATCTGTATTAAAGAGAAACTCAATTTCATATCCTGCCCAGATGAAATGTATGTGTTCTTCCCTAGCAAGCCCTGACAGTAAGACATGTTCAAGATGTTCTCTGTCAGTCATCTCCTACACTTGACAAAAAGCTAATTGACTCCACCTCAAATCAATAAATATTATAAAGTTGATAGTGCAAGATTAGCATTAAGACTATTTGTGCCTTCATGCAGATTCTTGCCCTTCACATGCACTTAGAAACTAATCCCTTTGAAATGCCTACAGCAAATCACAATGTTGCTTTGCTTTACAAAGAAAGCCTCTGTTTAAAGTTGACAAAATCAGAAAAGGGCATTAAATGGCTGTTTTTCTTCTTTTTCTTTAAGAGTAGTTTTACCCTTTATAAAGAATTATTGAGATTTAACATCTTGTATTCCAAATCGTGGGTCTTCTGTGAAGAGTAACCTTTATCCAGTTTGATTTCCTTTATATTTCCCGTTATGCTCATGGACCTTCCCACCTGCAGTTAGCCACAGCTTTCAAGACTGCCTGTACCAGCGCATATATAATACTTCCAGTTTCAGAGCAGTGTGACATCCTCCATTAATGTTGATGCTAAAATTTCTATTAATTTAATAAAAAAAATGTAATGAGGATTAGAAAAATCCCAAGTGCTATGTCCATGCATTGTAGGAACAAAATTTAAGACCAATTAACCTCCATGGTGTCTAAGTCTGTGTTATTTCTCTGGAAATCATTGCATTCCAAAGATTAACAAAATCAGTTCCTTCAATAAAAAATATTGGAAAATAGATGTGAATTATTCATATTTTTCCTTTTCAGCCAAATGGATCTTCAGCGTTTTAAATCAAGTACTTCAGAGGTATCTCAGATTACAGACAGAAAGAAATATAAGATAAATACCAGAAGTTTTGTTCAAGGTCATACTCATCAGAGCAAAAACTGAACACAATCCCCTAGACCAAAGCCCTCATGATTTAAATTGAATGTACTGCAGAAAATTCAGAGATGGTATTTGGACAAATATTTGACAAGACATCTTGCAATGCCTAGGAAGAACTAAGTTGTGTTTCTGAAATAGCTTAATCCCAAGGAACTCCTGGAGAAGAGGTAATTTTCTACATCTCTGCTTGCATTCATAATATTTATCTGTCTTATCGATATGCTCAGAGCATGTTTTCTCCAGAAACTGTCAAACCCATGCACCAGTGAAGAGATCACATGAGAGTAATTGTGTCCTCTGTATGTATTACAAGTGATTTTTATGGCACTGTATAATAATAAAAGCAATATCATCAGTTATCCAACCTTGCAAATTCACAATCACTAATAGCACTAACAGCACTACACAGCTCCCATTACATTTTTTAAAAGTCTTGTAATTGTCACTCTAAAACAGCACAGAAAAAAAATATTACAGACATCTTTTAACATGGGAAGTAGATTATGATATTATCTCTATTTTATTGTTCTTTTTAAGTAAAAATATTCAATTGCTAATAAACAAATAGACTAAAGGGGGCTTAAATTGAGTTTTACGGTGTGCTTATGTTAATATGTTTTAGGAAAGTGATAGCCACTTAGTGTGTAGGTCAAAACAGGTTAAAGAAAACTGCAGGAACTTGGGAAATCTTTACGTTCACAGAGGAACCTATAGAATTTTCTTGGAGCCTCAAAGCATAGGCAGCCACCAAGCAAGAGCTTCTATAATCACATTTCTGGGCTTAGTCAAACCTGTAGGTGTTTAAGTCCCATTTTAGATGCCCAATTAATTTTCTGGATTTAGCTTTTCATGACTGATATAATGTCCAAGCACTTCAGCCAAAGCTGGATCGAACTGTAGAGGGCAGGTCAAACTTGATCAGGACTCCTACATTACAGTGGATTGCTGTCAGAGGCAGAATGAAAAATGCCAGAGGAAGGATGGGCTATAAATTGTCTCTGATTTGTTGGGTACTATGAGGTAGGCTGTGTTGCAGCTGAAATCCAGCAGGAAGAACTACAGTTCAAATAATAATTCCAAGTTGTCCTGGTTTCTACTGGTTTTGAGTTAATTTTCTTCTTAGTAGCTGGTACAGTGCTGTGGTCTGAATTTAGTTGGAGAATAATGGTGATAACACACTGATGTTTTAGTTGTTGCTAAGCAGTGCTTGCTCTGAGTCAAGGACTTTTCAGTTTCACGGGCTCTGCCAGAGAGCAGGTGCGCAAAAAGCCAGGAGAGAGCAAGAAGCCAACCAACCATCTGACATAAAGCAGCCAAAGGAATATTCCACACTGTAGAATATCATACCCAGTGTATAAACTGGGGGAGTTGGTTGGGAGTCACCAATCACTGCTCAGGGATGGGCTGGGCACTGGTCAGTGGGTGATGATTACTGTTGAACATCACTTGTTTCTCTTGGGTTATGCTCCTCTTTCTCTCTCCCCTTTTCAATACAGTTAGTAGTAGTAGTAGATGATTATGACTATTATTACTATTATTATTGTTGTTGTTATATTTTATTTTGTTTCAATTATTAAACTCAAGTCACACAATTTACTTTCATGTTTTCACTGAGGGAGTGGCTGCATAGTGCTTGATTACCAACTGGAGTTAAATCACAACAGAAATGCACCACAAAGTTAACATATTTGGGTTGAATTGTTTTAGGAAAGTTACTCTCTTTTCTCCTTTCTGCTTTTATGATTTATGACTTGACTATACCATCCTCTTAGCAAGTGTCTTCAAAGGATTATCATGTATAATTACCTGTTATTTGTATAATTATTATTGCAGGGGGAGAGTCTCTGCAGATGATAAGCAGTTTCAAAGTAACTCAAAGAGTTTACAGTTTAACAGTGAAGAACACAACAATTTTGAAGGGGAAAAAAATGGAATAAAAGAAAAAATACTTGTCACTACATATTAAGCAGTTTCCCTAATGTTCCAGCAGCTCAACCAGTATCAACCTGTGTGATATACCAGTGTGACTTCCTGTGTTAACATCACAAAGGAAGTTTGAAAGAGATATAGTTTTCATTTTGCCATTTTTTTGTTAGAAATAACTCACAAGAATGACAAGTAACATTGAACATACATGTGCTTTTCTGAGTGCTATGAGCATACAGCATAACCAGAGTCTTGGTCTTGCTGAACAGGGGTATAGAAGTGAGTTGGGACAAGCTATGAAGAGTTTTGGAAGTTAATTAAAGAGTTAAAGTATAGTTTCCAGTAGTCAAGTGAAAGACTTAAGTAACAAAATTCTACTGAATATCCAGGAGTGGGCAGGAATATGCTTTAGAGCTTCAGTTAGAAAGTGTTTCATCTAAGAGTTATTACAGAGAAGGAGTAGGTAAAATGTGGACATAACTCTTAAGTTCTTAAACTGCTTGGAATGAGGAAGATATTTGGTTTACAAGATCATATGGTAAGCGGGAGGACGGTGTTTCCCATGGTGGTCAAAACCAAGATACTCAAAGGGAGAGACAGGGCAGATTATGATGTCTAGTGTAGCTACACTGCACTTGGCAATCTAAAGAGAAGGGCCAGAGGGAGACCAAGTTTGTTAGCACAAAAAAGAGACAGCAAATCTATACAGAAGCAGATCTGCGAGATATCCAACTGTATTAGCAAATGAGAGTGTCCATATTCCTAAACAGAGAGAGAAGATAAGGACCAAAGATGAACCTAAGTGGAAATCTGAAAGGTGGTGAGGAAGATATTTAGAAGGACACAGCAAACTAGAAAAATGAGAGAAGGATTCACTGAAATTGAGGAAAAAAAACAACCAACCAACCAAAGACTTTCTCAGTGGAGATAGTTAACAGAGTCAAGAGGAAACACCCATATCTTTCAAGAGGTACATTATCTAAAGGGTGAAGCACACCTAATTTCAGCTGCAAAGTTCCTCTTCTTTTTTTTTTTTTGGTATATTAAAAAAATAAATGCTGATCTTCTCCTTGAAAGGACATGGTTTTGCAGCAGAAAACAATTTCCACAACAAATACTGCAACCACAGGTTTAATTTGAGTGTATAAGCTAGTGAAAACCAAACCTTCAGAGGTTTTGGTTCAAAAAGAATTTACAGAGATACATTTTTAGTGACTTTTGTCCTTTATTCACCTGTACACTACAGGAATTTGATCTCTACTATACTATATAAAATCTTTAATGATATAAAGCTTAGACATGGATCTTCTTGGGTGTCTGTAACTGGGCAAACAGAATTCACTCACTCAAAACCAGATTGGCTTTCATAAGCAATGGTCAAATGCATAAGACCCAAAATCAATTCTGCACAGTGCTCCAATTTTTAACCTTCCTTTTGATTAAAAGTTTGCATTCTTAATTTTCATAAGTAATGAAGCTCTGTGAGCTTAATATCACCCTCCAGAAACAACAGAGCTATTATTTGTATGTTTAGAAACTCATTGCCATATGAAGAATCTACATAATCACAGAATATGCCAAGTTGGAAGGGACCCATAAGGATCATTGAGTCCAACCCCTGACCCTGCACAGGACCATCCCCAAGAGTCACACCATGTGCTTGAGAGTATTGCCCAAACACTTCTTGAACTCTGTCAGCCTTGTTGCTGTGATGACTTCCCTGGGGAGCCTGTTCAAGTGCCTAAGCAGGACAACATTTTTGTCTGAAATGAAAATGCAGTAAGGATCAATTTTTTTTTTCAATCTCTATTCCCTTCTTAAGAACTTTCTTGGTCCTTAAATGGTGCTGCCCAGCTGTGCCAAAAAGGTCTTGCCAAAAACTAACTTTCAAATACCTTGACAGTAATGGTTTGTGCATTGCTCGTCCTGGTAGGACCTGAGACGTACTGTTCCACTGCTTTCCTGGATTCTTTCACAGTTACCAGAATAAGGGAATGGAAGTGACAATTACTCCACAAGGGGGAACAAAACAAAAAGCAAAGAGGACTATGGTGTAAGAAGTGGCCTTGGCATTTGTGTTGGTGGAATGCCAGTCAACGCAGCAGGCTGTGCCACAGGGCTCCACTTCATATTCTCCGCAGTGAGCCAGGGGAGAACATGCAAAAACTGCTGCATGAGTCCAAGCACAGGCTATCAAGATTTGACCATGTTCCTTCTTGAACCTGTTCCCTGGAAGACACAAAGCAATCAGTGAAGATTAGCACGGCTGACATGTTTGAATGCAGTTTCCCATATGCGGGCAGCTGAGCTGGGTAAGTAAGAGGGATAACTTTAACAGGCATTCAAAATATTACAGCAGACTGAAGGTTTGTAAGAATAGAGCATGGTTTGCAACAATTTGGAAAAAAATTAGGTAGCTGAATTCTCTGATACATATAGGAAACTTAGCACAACGTAAATCTCTATGAAAAAATCTCTATCAAAATGTACCAATAAACTCTGAAAGAAAAATTATTTTATTCAAGCTAGCCTTGCTTTTATACCAGAAATCCAATGTTTGCCAATTATAACCTTGAGTTAAATGATCTTACAAGTAATCAGCTGCATACATCTAGCCCTATAGTTAGTTATCAATGATCACAGAAACAAGAATTGTTTGACTGGATGCAAAAGATCTCTTCTATAAAAATGCTCCCTAGGATATGCAGCCCAAAAGTGGTGGTCTATGTTCATACGAAAATTGAGAAACCTAAGACAGAAACATAAGCTTACCATAAGCTGGAAAACTAATTTTGAGGCAGCATAACATGCTCAGTAATGTCAGTGTTGAGAGACTGCAGATCCCAAACATCACCCCACAAAATGCATAGAACAAGCAAATCTGTTTCCCATATAGCCACCTGGCAAGTAACCAAGAAAATTAATTCTTAGCCTTCTTTCTTAAATGTAGTACTAAATTGTAGAAATACAGCTAGAAGTGTAGTCTTAAAAATTCAATAAAACCGTATAAATAAATTATGTGTTGGTCAATTTACAACTACAAAAGACTTTCTCGTTTGAAAAGCATACATACATGCTTTATTTTTATTATTCACTTTTAAGCCATTTTCATAAAACAAAGCAGTATAATGATAATCATAATCATTCTGAAAACAAAAAATCAAAATCCTTGAGAGTAGCAGGCCTAGGTCATAAATTAATATTGCTTATTATTATTTCTGCTACTTTAATACATGTTTTTAAAACTAGTTTTAATCAAAATGGACACATTCACTTGTAAAGGTTCTCCAGAGGAGCAAAAGTATCATCTGAATGACTATACTTCCTCCCTTTCTTTCCATACACCTGCATGATTTGCAGTAGCAGTTATCACAAGCCCCATGCCACATTCTGAAAGCATCAGCTCCTTTAGTCAAAATATTTAGCAGTATTTCGATACAGAAAGCAACAGGAAAAGGAAAAGGAAAAGGAAAAGGAAAAGGAAAAGGAAAAGGAAAAGGAAAAGGAAAAGGAAAAGGAAAAGGAAAAGGAAAAGGAAAAGGAAAAGGAAAAGGAAAAGGAAAAGGAAAAGGAAAAGGAAAAGGGAGTTGAAAAACAAATGAAGCATTTTACCATCACTTGACTAGTACTACTCACAATGGATAAATGCAGCAAGAAGTGAATATTTGGAATAAAATCTCAGCCCTGCAGAAATCAAAAAGATAGTAACCTCAAATAGACACAAAAAATAATTAACACCAGCGATCCATTAAGCAATACATCTGCTAGAGCCACACTCAGATATGTAAATGCTCTCACACACAGGGTTTAACACATCACAGAATTTAAGGGCAACCACCTCAGGTGGAGCTGTCTTCTACTACAGTCAGAAAGAAATAAATGTAGAAAAGGCTAATCCTTTTGTTTGTTTTTTCTCCTCTCACAGATGCTGTTGCTGTATTGTCTTAACTGGTATTAGAGAGATTATCTGGAACTGTTCTTGGCAAATGGAAATTACCACAAACATATGATGATGGAAGCTCAGCAAAATCCTCCAGTTACATTCACAGACCTTTGTCTCAGATAACAGTAAATACATTTGCACTGGTGGTAATTTCTCGCTTCCTCTTTACTTCCATCGAGTTTCTTGTTGCAAAGGTCAAGCTCCTGACTCCTGCTTAAACACTATGAACAGCAACAGGCTCTTGCTCCATTGAGAGCAGCTCATAATGAAGTAGCAGCACAGCTTTACACGTTTGACTTGAGGGAAATGGGAAATGTGAAAGAAAAGGCACCTGAAGAAATTAACTCACCTTAAGAAGCAGCTAAAGCTCCCAGTTCACATACCACTTAAATCCACTGCATTTTAGCTCGATGATGTATATCCACATTAAATAGCATTTATCTAATTGATCTAAGCATTTCTTTCTTTCAGTGTAATAGACAGAGTATCTAAATTCAGTTTGTCCATCTTCCCTACAGCTTCCTATAAGCTGCTTATTCTCTCTGTGGTCTGTCACTTTTTTCTAACTAAACAGCAAGACTTCACATCAAAATCCTCAGCTCTCCCACGTTCCTGGTGGCCGGTGCTGCAGCGTGTGACTGTCCTCAAGAGACTAACAAAGACAGTGACAGGACATTCACCTGCTTTTGCCCTGAGGCAAGGTATCCACAAGGAAAGGCTGAGCTCGTTTCAGATGCTAGTACTCTGTTTTCAGTGCTCTCTCCTATTAAAACCAAACTTTTATATTTGCTAAGGGAAGACATTCTACTCTAGAACATGCAGTTCTTCAGCTCATCATGAGTACTGAAAAGCCACTTGAGTTTCTGGTTTTCTAAAGCTGTCTGCTTACTTGCCAGAGATCGACTTTCTTGGGTTTTATCCTTGTCCTTGGAATGAATTTTGGGGAATTAAATTCCCATACTGAGAAAAGAATTTTATTCCAAGTGCCCAGTACTGGCTGGACTCACAGTGGAGCATTTAAGCCACAAATTCCATGCTTCAAGGGTCATTCAGACATGACAAAAACAGGCTGATATTCTTAGTATATGCAGTGTCCCTCATCCAAAAACCACCCAACCCTACTGTTAATTTGTCTGTGATAAGAGTGGCCCCCTCTTTTTTGAGAAGCTAAAAAAGCTCTCACTCAGACACACCAAGATGCTGGGGTTTTGCACCACTGACAATGTAGGTCTTGCTTGTCTCATCTACTTTATCCCTGTTCCAGTAATACCACAGTTTTCCCCTGCCACTGTAAATGAAAATCACTTCAAGGTTGTCATACCTTATTTCATTCCTTCTGTAATAGTAACTATAGTCCCTAGAGGCCACTTTACTCATCTCCTCTCTGACATATTTCCAGCACCAGAATTTGTGTAAAGACAGCATAAGAATAACTGCTTTAGCCTTCTGTGTGTTATCAAAATAAGAAAATAAAAACAGATATAGGAAGTGTAAAGATCAAGCAAAAATGCCCCCATCTTTGTTAATAAAAAAGGGGGGAAAAAAGCCTCCATTAAACAACATTTTGAGAATTACCTGAGTGTCAGTTGCAATTGTTCTTATTCGCAGTTTTGGGAAACCCACATTTTTCTGAGCATTGTAAATATTTTTTCCCATTCTTTTACAGTAAATTTTTACCTAAAAATTTACTTTTGTCTTCAAAGAGGAACTGAAATAGACAAGAACTGCATACTGATATTTCAAAACCACTCAACATTCTAGCATGCTGTGTTGGCCAACAACAACAGGTTTCACTGGATTTATTTTTTTTTCTGGGCTGATGAACTACATAATGATATTTTTGAAAAATACTTCACCAGTGTTTACCTGTACAACACTTCCTTCCCTCAACAGCAAGAGAAACTCACCAACACACAAGAAATGCATTTAAATACAAATTTTGAAAAATCAAATTAAAAAAATTTAATTCTTAAACTTTTGAGAGTGTATTAATTACCATAAACCAGGTAACAACTCAGGCCTGAGCATCTAAACTGAAGGTATAAGTTTTAATAAATAGGTATAAAAGTCACACTCTTAATAAACTATCATTATTGTGAACATATGTCATAAATCTCTCATTTTCTAATTTCAGATAGACTTCTATTGATTTCAGTTCTTCCATCCTCCCCACACAACATTTACCCTAAGTATTCCATGTTTTGGTCTTTCCCTACACTGTATTTATTAGCTTAAAATCTTCAGTAGAAAATAGCCTAAAAGGAAAAGCATGTGGCTGATGGAGCAGCAGGGTAGGATGAGGTTAAACAAGTAAATAGTCTAATAATTCAACATTTATTGTAAAGTATTTTTGATACTAGTACTTATTATTTCATTTCAAATCAGATTAGTGACATCAGCATATGACAAAGAGGGACCAGAAGCAGAAAAATTTCCAAATGTAGTTTCAGTAATAGTTACATTTTTATACCAAAGAAGCATTCTATTTAGTTCTATGCACAGCTTTTTTGAAATGAGTTCTGCACTCTTTTTAATCACCTCTCTCCATTAAATGACATAAGGACAAACTACTATACCCTGGATTACAAAAAAACTCTGAAATCTTCCCTTTCTTAGAAAAAGTTTACTCCTCAGTAACTCTGACAAAAAAAAATTAAGTCAACAGAAATTACACACAGCAACTTTGATGATTGCACAGTGCATGAAAGATTCCTGAAATAAGAGCACGTAGAGGCCTTTACCAAATGAACATGGGATTTTTTGGGGTTTTTTTTTGCCATGGTCATGTTTGTGAAGACTTTGGAAATCTTAATACTAATTACTGGAAAAATGTATTAGACCACAATCAGTTGTTCACATATGTGAATAGATACTTCTGTATATAGATTTCTACTCTCTCATTTTATTCCCTTCCATTGTCATTTCAGCACACAATCATAAAGTGAGCTGACTCATCCATGCATGCATGGATGCATTGAGGTCCCACCATTGTTCAGCCTCATGGTAAATTCTCTTGGAAATTAATTTTTTCACTCTGGTTATGGAAAGTCATATTTTTGGAACACAGGACTGAAACCGTACTCATCTCTAGCATCGTGTCACTCCACCTTCATAAATAACAATTACTGGAAGGACTAATTAGAAATTGACTTTTAATTAGCATTTTATCACCTGTGTAGAAGCTTACTCATGAATATACAAAGGCAAGAAAAAAACAAGGATAAAATTCAAAAGTTCTGATATTACAAATCAATAAATTAACTTGAATTACTCTTTTTTCTTAATACGTTGAGTGCTGGATAATATGCCTCTCTTTATCCTGCCAACCACATTGAAAGCATCCACGTGAATCAAATACATGATGTTGAGAAAAGTTGTACAAAGGGAATGACAATCTATGTACTTCTGAGCGAAGTGTAACAGGAGAAATCCACTATCCTCAGTGTAGCAGAACTGTTCTGTTTACATCACACCACAGAAAGGGAGAATAGCATGCAATAGAAGACAATTCTTAAGTAGATCTCTTGAATTTGATAAAAAAGAACAGAATAGAATGGGAGGGGGAGGAGAAGATAAATCTGTTGTGTACTTTGTTATGACCAGAATAATTAATTCTACATTTCCACTCCCAAAATCAAGATGAAAATCTTCCCACAAACTTCTCTATACTAAGAAATTATCCCAGATCTAGAAACTTCTTAAGACACCTCTCATAGAGGCCACAGGAGGTCACACAACATGATCACTATCTGATACAATCTACTGGACCTCACAAAATTGAAGCAATCATCCAGGGTTGACCTAAACCATAAGGTCCAGCACAACTCTTAGAAAGTCACTCAGAGGGTTAGTTGAGGAAGGAGAAAATGATGCTTTGATTTTGCCATTTGTGTAGCCCTGATTTCCAATCACACCAACTCCCACATCATCACAAAAAAAGTATAAATAAGTCACCTTTGCTCCTCCCTCGCTGCTGTCTGATACAGATGAACCTTTGACAGACATATTTTAGTGTTCATGCAACGTCTGTTGCTTTATGTACTATAAAATCCTTGTCGCACTGGTGCTGCTCCTGAACCAGGCATGAATTTGGAAAAAGTTCTACTTGTTTTTTTATTCTTTTTATAAAAAACAGAACCTCTCTGAAGTCACTGGTGTTAGTCAACTGTGTGTTAGTACCTCACACACTGATCAAATTGCCATCCTGTCTCACAGTGACAAATAAACACCATGCAGAGCTCAGAGAACAGGCAGAACAGGTGCCTACAGCCCCATCAAACAAGTTCTTCTCTGAACAGCAAGTGGTTTTTTTGGGGGGTTGGTTTTGTTTTGTTTTGTTTTAAACCCCTGTCTAAATGAGAAAATAACTCACAGACCTTGTTGGACTGTTTTTTTCTTTCTGTATCCATTATGCCTCAGGAGGTACTCTGTGAGTACTGGTGAGGCAAAACTAACTTCACAGACTTGTTCTTTACCCAAGTAAACTAAAAAGGGCATGCCAACATCCAAATTACCCCGTTTACCATCAGTGCACACACTGCAGCCTAGCTGCCTCTGCATACTGCTGTTCTGCCAGGGCTGAGGAAGCTCTTGAAGTGTTGGAGATGGGGAGCACCACAAGAAAACCTAACCCTTCTCAACAGGGATCTGGTACAGCCTTGGTACAATCACGAAAGGCATCATTTGAAGACAACTCAGTGGTCCACAACCTTAAACTAGCAAATCAGAAATGATGGTTCTCTCTAGAAGCTTCATTTTCTAGCATTTTGCCCACAGAAAGTAATGGTAAACATAAAATAGTGAGAAATGGGGAAGAGGCTGGGAGTGCAGTTACAAGCAAATTCTTTCTTCTTGTAGGCATTTTTCTATACTTTTGATCCTCACTGTGCTTTTCTCATTCTGCTATGTAGTTTTGAGGATGCAGAGACCACAACAACAAATAGTGACAATATATTGTGGAACTGCACAGTGAAATAAATAATAATCTATTTCATTTTTTGTTGTTGATGCTGCTAAACACTGAACACATTAAAGAAAACTGACCATCAAGACTGCAAAATTTCTTTCTTGAGCTATAATAGCTAGCTAGGGAGCTTTCAATGAGTTTGTTTAATTATTTACTCCTAACTTCACACTCAAATTTCTCTTCTAGTTTACCAACGAGTCTCTCAGTACCATGACAACCAACTACATCTCTTTATAGCCAGTTTGATTCTTACTATTTTCAAATGAAAAGGTTTGTCTTGTCTTCTCTCACCATCCCCACCCAGAATTAACTTATTTGTGAAGGGTGTGGAAACATCCTGTCCTTCTTGTTAACCAATCAAACTTCCACTCCCATGAAACCATCTTGTACTTCACTGGCTAGCTCAGGAGCAGTTTTTTATTAGAAATGTCTGTCACAGTCTAGGGTCACATCTACCTCCTTCATATCACCATTGCATCCTCTTCCACAGAGAGAAGGATGTAAATTTAATCACAAAAAGTGAGGTCTCACCTACCACCCACACACTGCTATCACCAGGCTGGCAGCAATACCTGACACAGCTTTCTTCTTTCTTTACATCAAACTGCAGGCTGATTTTAGACAGTTAAAACTTACTAAGGCCACTGTCCATAACAACATGGTGCTCTAAACCCAACCCAAAAACTTACAGCAAACACTCATTAGTTCAAACCCAGCAAAGTCTCTTTTCCTGTCCTGCTAAGTAATTTTTCACCATAGAGCTTCTAATTTTTCCTCATTTCTTTGGAGCTTTTAGCTGATTTTCTTCGAAAAGGTGTTCTTCGTACAAGCTTTCACATCAGTCATTGTTGACCAGGAAAGATCCTTCCCCATCTGTAGCTGAGTCACAATTGCTCTCACACCAAGTCCATCAGTCCCTCAAATGACTTTGCTTTACACCAAAGACTTAAGACATTCAGTTTCTTCCCTCAAGCTTGTTACTTAAATTTTCAGTTTTCTGTTGTCTCATTTACTTTGTCCAGCTTCTTAAAAGGACAGGTACAATCCTTTCTTCTAACTGCATCATTTCAGCATTTTTCATTGTCCTCTGCTGTTTCTCTTAGCTGCCCTTACTCTACCGTCTTGCCCCCCTGAAATATTTTGCATTTTTTTTCCCATTGGCACCTTTTTGTACTCTAAAGCCAAGTGCGAAGATTATACACCTCTTCAGCCTTTTTCCTCATATTCATTTGTAAATATTTTTATTGGCTGTAGTACCTTCACATAGAACTTACATCAAGTCACAGGAGAAAACTATAAAAAACTCCTTCCATGACCTTCCTCCAGGGCAGCAGTAACAGAGCTCCCAAATCTTCATGGCATCAGGCTTAGTCATTTGCTGCCTGAAGACTCCTCACTATAAGGAATCTAATTCTCTGTGGCTTAAGGAAACATTTCTTACGCCTCATATGATATTTTTGTAAGCCCTGAGTTCTTGCAGGATGCTTGGAAAGCTGCTTTAAGGTTTTTATCACAAGCAGGAGTTTCTGGAGCTCTAACAGGCTTTTGAGACTTCAGTGATTCTAGGTATGGTGCCATAGAGAAACATACTAAAGGAACCTGACACAGATCTACATTAAACCATTTTTGGCAAAATTAATGCCACATGGATTAGATCTCTTTCCAGGTATTTTCATACAGTGCTCTCAGGCACATGGTGTGATTCTTCGGGCTGTCCTGTGCAGGGTCAGGAGTTGGACTTTGGTGATCCTTGTGGGTCCTTTCCAACTCAGAATATTCTGCGATTCTGTGAGATCTATTCCTTGAAGAATTACTTCTTCAGTTTTGGGGGAAGAAGAGGATGGTGAAGCAAAAAGGGAATAGTTTAACTTTTGAGTTTTGTCCCCTCAACAGATATAGCCACTTCAGCTAATTCTCCTTTACAAAGTGGTTTCCTTCCATATTCTGTCTTGCAGGCTGGTTTCTCTCCCAGCATGAGTCATTTGCAATTCCCTAACCTAAAGGAAAAATACATCCTTGAGGCATCCTAAACCTGGCTGAGGCCATGTGCACCCTATGTGTGGCAGTCAAAGGCTTTGAAATCCTCTGGTGGTGGTTACACACTTTGAACTGACTCCCTGTCTACGATTTTAGAGATCTGGAAAAGCCTGCCCAAATGTGCAAGTGGTTGTACACAATTGCCACATTTCCCTCTCTCACACAACAAATCTTGCTTCTCTTTGTAGGAAAAAGTTAGTATACATCACTCTGAAAAGTGACATTATCCTTTCACCATATGACAACCTGAAGGAAAAGCCAAAGTAGACACAATTGCCAGCATTCACACTTTCCTGATCCTTGTCTTTTTCAGATGATTTAAAACTACCATTGCTATTTAAACATAAAATTTAGTGTACAATTCAGTGCTTTGCTTTGAGAAATGCAAAATATATATATTCCTTACAGACTTTGTAATATTAATTATCATCATATTTCTACTTTGCAAACCATTAATTTATCACAGACCCAGCACTGTTAACTACCCAGGAGTTGTGTGTCTGGCATTTTCATGAAATTGAGTGTAACTTTGGCCTCATACTCATCAGTCCAGGTGTATTTATAAACTTATCTTTCCCTTTTCAATTAAGATTTTTTAGCTTTTTCTGTAGGAAGATATCCACACACAAAGCCATTGCTTATCTCTCATGAGTGCTTGACTATTGGCTTTTAAAATCCATGAGAGCAAAGATCCTTTTATTCACTGGTGGTGTAGATTCCCTTCTAAATGAAATAAGCCAACACAAAATCTTACAACCAAATCTGATTACTTTTTAGTCTACTTATGTTTATGAAATAGGAGTGCACTCCACTATTTTTAAAAGGTGGGAAGTGAAAGACATGCAGGTTCTATAGCCTCATGATGTCTTAATCATTAACTTCCAGGTGGTTTATGTGCTTTACTAACTTAGAGGTTGTGGGACAGCACCTGCCCAAAGGATACCTCTGATGAAATTGGAATTAAATTCAGATCCCACTCTAGAATTTTATCCATACGCTCAACTTGACCATTTTCTCTGTGGCAGCTGCTTTCACCAGCTCTAGTTCCTCATCTAAGTAATCAAAACGATCCTTAATTTCTCTCTCTTCCAATAAACCTTGACTTTTCTTATCTTTACCTCCTGTGGACAATTCTGTTGGCACTAGACTAGTTTTTGCTTGCACCCTTGGGCAATTTCCTAGTGATTCAGACTTCATTCTTCGAATATATCTGTTCTTCGTATGTACACCTTTGCCTGTCACCATACTCTTCCTACTAAGTAAGAATCCTGTCAGCACAAGTGCTGCATTGTGCTTTATTTACTGCATGTTCTGGGTCCAAAGCAAAAGGATACTGCAAAAAAAAAAATCATCTTATTATTAAAAGAATAATTTATTCTAATTAGGATCCAGTGTATTCTCCTTTTATGTCTTTCCAGGACTTTGGCAACTGGCTGAAATTTCCACAGAAGGATTCAACGAAAATAACAATTCCAGGCAAAGTAACAATATGTACCTGAAACATCCTCTTCCCTCCCAGGAAGTAACACTTTCAAAGAAACTGAGTTTCTTATGAAACTGTATAACCTTATTGTCACTTTTGACCAGAACAATTAGTAGTCATGAGAATTTGAATTGATTTGCACTGGTGATTAAAGTGAAGCAACACTTTGATGGGATACAAAGAGGGAATACCAGGAACCCTGAATGTCACTGCCTTCCCTGGCTGTTAATCTGCCCCTTTACATTTTGAAGTTCTGCCCCAAATCTTCCTGCCTCAGATTTCTGTCTGGGCCACAATACAAATACTTCTCCTTCAGTAATTTTTAGGTTTGTTTTGCCAGTTTCATTTTGGTTTTGTAGAAGACAGTTGTCATGAGGAGCAATTTTAGAGAGTTTTGTGATTATCCATCACAGCCTTCTGACCACCAGCCTAATATTCTTTAAAGTAGAATAAAGGATAATACAGATTTAATCTCACAAAAAAACCGAGAAAAGCTCTCTATTATAGGACACAAGCCAAATATATACAAGTGGATTAGCTTCCAAAAAGCTGTATCAGCATTTTCCTCCGGTTTTGCCAAAAATGGCCATGAGGGCCTTTCTGCCCCTACTGGTCTTTTCGGGTATTTCTACAGGAATCTGAGGGAGAGGGAGGCCAAGGCTTTTATGCTTATCTCCTTTTCCCATCCAGGTTGAGGAATAACGGTTATATCTTTCCTTCTTACATTCTTATCATGAGCTGAGAACAGGAAATTTCTATTAGTAAACATATACAACTTTTCATATAGCATTTTCCACCCTTTTCTCTTCCTAAGACCACAGGTGCAACAACTGCTCAGTGTGCTCATTTACCCTATCATTTTGTCTTAGATCCAGTATCAGGACTGAATAAATTTAGTTGGGATTAGATATTTAGTTGGGTTGTTTTCCCCCTCAGACCCTTTTTAACTGCCTAACGACTGTCCTGCTTTCAGCTGGGACATTTTGTCTTATTAGCTGGTCCAGTGCTGGGTTTTGGATTTAGAATTAGAATATGGACTTGGGGATTTTCATCCTTGCTCCTAAAGAAATATGGCAAACTTCAACTACCTTCATAGACACAGACACCCTATTAATCAGTGAAGTCCAATGTCAAACCACAGTAGTGTGTCAAACAGTTGATTTTGTACTATTAATGCGTAAAAGCAGGATTTTTAAATTAAGACATCGGCTTCTTTTCTCCTCAGTCAGGAGCCAGTGCCTACTGAGGTGCTGTCAGTGCTGTTATTTCTCATTTCTGTGACTTTAGAAATGCTACATTGATCAATGCATCCATCATACAGCTACTATATAAGTAACACCATACCTGACTGTATAATGTATAAGCGGCCACACCTGACTAAACACCCCTGACAAGAATAATTGCCTATTTAACAAACTTAACAGTCTACAGCAGCATATAGGATTTTTACTAAGCTAGTTGATGCAGGGCATTCATAGGAGCAGGACCAACTATACTTGAAGCAGACAATTCTATTTGGTATTTGGTAAACTGCACTAAATAAGGATGTGGAGAGAACAGTCCCCTTTTCATTTACCACCAAACAGTGTAGGAATCTTTTAGTAGGAATCTGCTTTTAACAACCAGGAGTATCTGGACTGCTGTCTCATCTGCAGGTGTATTGATCCCACAGTTGGAGTTGTTTCATGTGATCAACGGAAGAACAGGTCCTTGAGCTCTTGTTTCCATACTCTTAGAGCTGCCTGGCACTGCAGGGCTTCCACAAGGCTGGCACCTGCCCTCACTCACACTGAGTTACAGCACACTGACAGCTCAGGCAGAGCATAAATCACACAAATTTTTAAACCTATACACTTAAAATTACAAGTTTTCACTGTAAAGATGTCATTCAGGACAAAAAAAAAAAAAAAGGAAAAAAAAGGAAAAGAAAAAATGCAACAAAGCTGTTCTTTCACAACTGAACTGTTCCTCATTTCCACCAATACCTAGCAGCCAAAGTGAGGAAGAAAATGGCAGCACAGTGAAGGTTTCCACTACATATCTGCCATTCCGCTGTCATCCCAATTCTTGTTTGTCTTGTGTAACAAAGGCATACCACCATGGAAAGACCTTCACTTCACCCACAAAGGGGTTTAAACATCCCATTTTTAATTGCAATTTCTCAATGCTAAGAAAAGTATTTTCATGGCAACCTTCATCAATGTCAAGTTCCAGGCACTCAGAAATTATATTGTATAATGCTAAAAATACCTAGCAAGTCTTCAGAAAAAGTCTAGCCTGTAGGAAGTTTCATAACATACTGAACAAAGTTACAGTATTGCTTTGGACAGAAGAAGACTTTTCTGAGGAGTATGTTCAACACCCACTCATGTTTTCTGAACTCTAGCTTGCAGAGAAAAAAAAGTTTTAGCTAGTAGCAAAAAATGTGGTGACAAGCAAAAATAAAGTATTGCCTATCTCCTTGTAATCTTTTACAGCTCTGTTATTGAAAAAGTTCTAAATATTACTCTAAAAAATACATAAATTTCTAAGTGGCATTTCAATAAGTTAAAGAAAGATTCTGCTCTAATTTGCCTCTATAACAGAATAATTAAATTTAATAGTACTTTTACTGCAGCTGAGGATACAATTAACTCAGAATGCTTAGGGCTTGTGTGGCCTACAGATGAAGAGAGTGGATTTGAAAAGCAGCCAGAAACAGAACATGAACATCTAAGGCAGTGACATCTCCCCTCTGTGGTCTGGAGAATGAAAACTGTGATCCTTGAGGACAGATGTTAAAATGAAAAATAGTATTAGCTGTGATTCCTGAGCCTTGTCCCCTTAACTTGACTGATGTGTTCAATCAGTTCTGTCACAGCAGGAAAACTTTTGGGGTTAGTTTTCCCTCACAGGCCTCCCACTGCTCCTTCCAAGCAGAGCCAGAAGTGCTCTGAGCTGCCACTGCCCTTTCCTCTCTCCAGCAGCTCCCTTCAGTTGCCCATGGCACTACAACAGGAAGGGATTTATGTAGGGTTCATTTATTTGTTTGTTTGTTTTTAAACTTGTTTTTAAACTTGTTTTTAAACTTTTGGTACAACCAAATCACATTTTCAACTATTTCCTCGACATAGTGAGAGCCAGCAGTGCATACTACAAAAAGCTGGTATTTTCAAAGCATCTCCTGAATCCAAGAGCTCAGGCTTTAGCTGCAATTAATACAATATGCCACCAATGCAACCCTGGCATCAGCAACTACAAGAAGTGGAGCCCATGTCCCAAGCACATTTTTGTCTCTCCCTCTGTCATGTCCCCAACAACAGCATCTGCAGTGGGGGCGGGGGAGGGGGGAAAGCTGATTATGTTGCTGGTGGTGTCTTCAAATGGATAGGAAGAAGTATTTTGCCTGTGAGTTTCAAGAAATATTTATTTTCTTGGTCAGAAGTGGTTGTTACTTTCTCTGCAAAATCCCCAACATACAGAAATAACTCTTTCATCCTCGGGCTTCAAAACACCTGGGGATCACGAGGCAGCTGTTTGAAGATGATCACTAAGTTATTTCCGTCAGTAAGTAAAAATCTATAGTTACATCCTTTTTCTCTTTTTTTTTAGCAGAATTTTCATCACCCTGGAGGAAACAGGGTAAGGAATGATCCACAATTATCAGGAGGAGAACACCATATCTATTCTTACTTACAGAAAGGAAAACCCGAAGGAATAACACTTGCAAGCATCAGCTGAATTGATTTATTCACTGCTACAGTCTGTAAGCAACAGTTTTTAAACTGTTAATTTTTCACTTCTTCAGCTACCACTAAAGCAATTAGCAGAACTCATTAGCCAAGTGACATTTTACAAATTAATGATTTACTCCTGTAAACTGATAGAAATGCACAGTAAATAAATCTTGAGTTAAATAGGATCAGGAAATCACTCAGTCCTAGACTGTGTTTAATCAGTATTCATGGTTTTAAAAACAGAAGTGTTGAGAAAATTATTATCTTCTGTTCCAGTCTAGCTTTTGCTCTATAGAAATAATTTTTTTCCATGACATTAATCAAGGGTAATTTTGAAAAGACAGCAAACATTAAGATTTCAAGGGACTGAAATAATGGCAATGTGCATATGAAGAAAGGCTGAATTTCCTTCAGTGTATTTCTATTACTGCAGATATCTTTATATTTTACTATACTCAGAAATAATCCCTTATCTCACTGGAATAAGAGTGTATTAAGTGAAAAAACATCCAGGAGTCTCTCCCGCATCCACTGCAGTTCAGAGACGTGACTTTTGATACATCTGGGTTAGGTAACACTTTGGTGTAGATAGCTCTATTTCACAGTAGATACTGAATTAGAAGATGATCTTTAAAATTAAAAATTCTGTCCCCATTATTCTGACTGTGGCTGTCGTTGTACCACATGATTCCATTCTCCTTCAGGCAGTCTCACTGCAGGTGATTGCTTTTCACTAAGGCAGCTCTACTTACACTTCAGAGCTGAGGAATAATAAAAATGTTGATTTTTGTGGTTTAGTCAGTGCAGGGAAAACTTAACTTTAGATCAGAAGGAAGCTCTGGTATATTACTGAGCTTCTTCACATTATATAGTTATTGTATCCTCAGGTTTAAATAATGAAAATTTTTTAATCTTTCATTAAACTTTTTATATACTATCCTCCTCCCCAACACATAGGCATTTTCCACTCTAGCACTTTGACAGACTTTTTCACACTA